ATAAATAAATTTAAAAAAAGCTGTAAATTACACAGAAAACAAATAGCAAACTGGCAGAAGTCCCTCCTTCATAGTAATTACTTTAAATGTGAATGTATTAAACTCTTTAATCAAAAGAGAGTGAGGAATGGATTTTTTAAAAATGATCCAACTAAATGCTGTCTACAAGACCCACTTTAGATCCAAATACATAAATAGGTTGAAAATGACAGGATGGGGAAAGATAGCGATGCACATAGTAACCAAAGACAGCTAGAATGGCTCTACAAGTATCAGTCAAAATAGAGTTTAAGCAAAAAACTGCTTTAAGAGACATAGAAAGACATTATATACTGATACAAGGGTTGAGATAGGAAATATAACAATTATAAACATTTATGCCTCTAATAACCCTCAAAACATGGAAGCAAAATTGACAGAATTGAAGGGAATTCTATAGAAATAGTTGGAAGACTTCAATACTCCACTTTCAATAACGGACAGACCAACCACACAATGACAAATAAGGAAATAAGGACATAAACACAATTGCCCAAGTAGACTGAACAGACGCAGACAGAACACTCCACCCAGCAGCAGAAGAAATATTCTTCTCAAATGGACATAGGATATCTCCAGGATAGGCCATCTATTAGGCTACAAAAAAGTGGGGAAAGTGGGGGAATTACTACTGATTCTACAGAAATGGGAAAGATCGTAAGAGAGCACCATGAACAATTACATGTCAACAGATTGGGTAACCTAGAAAGGACAAATTCCTAGAAACCAGAACCTCCCAGGCCTGAATCAGGAAGAAAGAGAACATCTAAATGCCCCTCTAACTACCTGTAAGGAGACTGAGTCCGTCACCAAAACATCTCCCAAGAGAAGCCCTGGTTTACATGGCTTTACTGGTAAATTGTATCAAACATTTAAAGAAGAACTTGTATCAATCCTTCTTAAACTCTTCCCAAAATACTGAAAAGGCAAGAAGTCCTAACTCATCTTGGGAGGCCAGCAGCACTCTGATACCAAAGGTACCTTTGCCAGAGCAAGACATGGTAAATACAGATTTCTGGAAGCACCTAACACACATGAGAAACTTGTGACTGGATCATGTAGTCAACTTTCAGATTCCTGGGGTAAGGATTAGGATTCTTTTGTTTTACCCCAGTTGGAGGACAAGCAATCATGCTACACATTATGCAGGTTAGATTCCCAGAATGCCCAGAGATTCAAATGGATACCCACTGCACGGTCTTCAGATGTTGGTCAAAAATGTCATATGTGGCAACAAGCCCAACTCTGAAAAAGGCACGTGGAGGAGGCCACATAAACGCTGAAGTATTTGGCATGGTAGGGGAAGACGTCTCACTGATTGCCCTGTGAACTGCAGTTGAAGATTTATGACAGATTAAAGGACTGAGGTGCATACTGACCTGCAGGGTGGACCCTAAGCATCAAACTCGACAAGGACCAGCACTGCCTGTCTCTGGAGAAGCTTTTCAGACTTTGGAAAGAGTGACTAGCGGACAGCAGAAACTGTGTGCAATTGTAAATACATACAAAAAGTGAAATTGTAATTGAAAGAAAAAAAAAAGGATAGATGAAAGAAATAAGAGGGGATGTGAACTCAACAGTCCAAGCAGGTTTATTGCTGATCCTGAGAGGGCACCCTCTGTCCAGGCCAGCAGAACAAAGGAAAGGGGCCTCTAACAGGTCAAGGGGCTTTTTATGGCCAGGGTTTTTGGCAGGCTTTTTGAGGGGAGGATCAGGGGAAAGGTGGGCTTGGGGCTTGGGGCTTGCTGACGTGTCCTCTGGAGGATGCTTGTAGCCTAGGTAAGATGAAACCTAGCTCTCTCTGAGATGGTGGGTGGGCTTATTCGAAAGGTCCGGATTCTATCAGTAATTTTAGCTAACATAAGCACAGAACTAAGATTTGCTGATGGGAATTCTGAAGGATTCAACGCATTACCGTTTATGTCTGTCTGAACATTCCCGTGAAGGAGACTATCTGGAGTCCATAGCTTTAATTTACCCAATCTGTGTATACACACAGTGTGACTGCTGTATTCTAGCTGGGAAAACCCTATGCTAGCATATGCATCTACAAATGGATGTAATTAGAAAGACTGAGACAGAAAATGTGCGCGGGTTGGCAACAGACTTCCTTACGAAGTACATACACCTCACGCAGCAGGCACTTGGGCAGTTTTCCAAGAACCACAAGTCCGGCAGTAAAAAGAACTGGAAGATTTTATTAGGGGTCCTGCTGAAACTGAAACCACTGCTGATCAGAAACGGCTTGAAGTCGCTTACTCTGCAGAGCAGTGCTACCGTCAGGTTGAGGGAGAAGGTGCCTTATTGCGGAGGTCTTTTCTACCTGACTTTGTGGTTTTTTTAAATGGCATTGAAATTTAAGGTCAGCTCAATATAAAACTGTAAAGGTACCAGATATTTTCTCTATTTCAGGATTTCTGATGACATCAAAAGCCATGTTGAAGCAGCTTTAGTAAATTCTCTTTGCAGCGCTTCACAAAATTACCCTTTCACAAGTCATTTCATTGTGAAGTAGCTAGAGGCCAAATATTTTATGTCCAAATTCAATGTTAAATTAGTATCATTCGAAAGCAAAGAAAAACGATGTTGAAAAAGGTTTAAAGGAGATTGATTTCTTTCCAAACCATATTTATAGGCAAATAATTACCACTTCTGGGCAAATGTTCAGATTTAATAAAACTGTTTTAAAGTCTTAGTACAGATGAACACTTAAGAATCAATGCGTGAGAAACACACTCACTGGTCCAAATTCACTAAGTGGACACGGAGACAAAGAGAAGAGCAGAGCGAGGCTTTAACGACGGTCCTGTACGATCGGGTGTCTGGTGGGCAGGCACACGTGGGGAGTTTGGCGCCAGTAATTTATCTGCTAGTACGTGAGTCCCTCCCCTGGTTCCTCATTGGCTGAGCACTACAGGGTTCACTCTCTTCCCAGGACGTCGCCTAAGCCAGTTATATCTTTCCTTTACAATTGTCTTAATTTTATTGGTAGGTTAAAAAAACTCAAACAGGCATCGCCAGGCCCTTATCAATTCCCCCACCCCCACTCTCAGCCCGAGCAGCTTCCACCACGTGGCCCTTTAATACCTTACTATTAAAATGTTTAAACATCCTAGTGGGAATAAATCACATTTAGGTTTTATACTCTTTCCTAACAAATGTGTATCTTATTTCATAACACATTTAACTTTTCCAAAGCTTCGCAAACAATCTCAAGGGACTCAGCTCACGGCTGCCTGGGTGTGAGGGTGAGGGAGGGATCACAAGGGGGGCGCTTTGTGGTGACGATGCGACCTTTCTCCTGATGATAATGTTTTCATGAGCACACATACGTCAGAACACCAAACTAGCAAACTGCACACTTTAAACATGTGCAAGTGATTGTATATCAATTATGCCGCAATAAAGCTGTTAAAAAATATCCTCCATATTAAAAAAATAAATGAATGAAACGGTCCCTTACTGTTAGGCAGGAAAATAGATATGAGTGGGGTGGAAAGAGAGTAAGGCCAGCAAAGCCCACTAAAAAGACCCAGAGTTAATGAGTTAATCAAAGCTCAAAAAGCCAGGAGTAACTTGGCCTAGAATGTTCATACATTCCCCAGATAAAGGAGGCTACTTCGGCATAGCCCATGTCTTTGTTGTATTAATCGTGCAAGAACAGCTTATTTTTTAACTTTACCTATATCGTGTTTTTTGCCTTCCTTCATCCCTAATCAAGTAATTTGCAACCTGGGCAACTAATTTAACAAGCAGGCCCAGCTGTAAACAACATAATAAAAGGCAGAAAGGATTTCATCTTAAAGATTGCATTTTAATACCCAGGAAGTTAAGATTCTTTTTTTTTTCTTCTTTGTTTTAAGAAGATTCTTAACTTACTCCTCAGCAATCAGACAATAAATCACTCAGCCCCCCCTGCAGGCTGGGCAGGAAGTCTTTTTTTGATCTGCTCCCAGGGCAAAGCCGCAGGTATCCCAGGAGAAATCAGAGCAGTAAATTCCTTGCGTTAAGTTGCTTTTAAATATTCAGAGAACACTTAACAAGTCTGCACCCCCCAGCCCTTAGTCACATTCCTGAAAAATCCTTAGAAGGGGGAACCCCCAACCTTTCGATGCGTTTCTCTAAGGTCGCCCGCACTTGGCAGGTAGACTCTCTCTCTTTCAATAAAACTTAGACCTTTCAAGGCGCATCTCCTGCCTGAGGTCGCCTGCTGAACTTTTTCTCTCTTTAAGTAACTTTAAATAAGACTTTTACTCTGCTTTACTACTGCACCTCTGCCCTTCGGTTCTTTGTTGCAGCGGGGACAAGGACCGAGGAAAGTGCACAACGCGCCCCCAACATTACTACGCTGCCGCTTCCGGGCAGCGTGGAAACTGGGAGGAAGAAGGTCGCCCCCCCCACCCCCGGGCCCCCCACTCCCCCTCCAAGCCCAGCCCCCACCTGCCCCACCCCCACCCCGAGCCCTCTTCTCGGCAGTGCCGGGTGACGCCCTGCCGGCCAGGCGGAGAGCCCTCTAGGCCACCCCGCGCCCTGGCCCGCTGGCGAGCGGGCGCGATTCCAGGGCTCAGGCCCTCCGGCCCGTCCAGCCCCGCTCGGGACGCGCGCCCCGGCCCGCGCGCACGCCCCCCTGCGCCTGCAACAGCAGTGCCAACGCGGGCTCCAGCAGCAGAGAGACGGCCGTGGGGACCGTCCTCGGGGCCGCGGGGGCCGCGGTGACCTGCCCGCCAGCCGATCTTGGAGTCGTGGTGACCGTCCTCCGAGCCATGGTGACCGGCCTGCCGGCGGGGCCCAAAAACGGAAGCGTTTCTGGGCAGAAGATGCGAGGAGGCCGCTGCAACCGGCGAGAACAAGCGCGGGGAGGGCGTTCCGCCTTCGCCCCACCCAGCTCGGTCCTGCGCCCGCGGCCCGTCCCTCCCCGTCACGTAGGCGCGTCTCGACCACTGCGCGCTGCGAGCCGTCACCTGCCCCGCGTCCCCTTCGCTCTTCGCTCGCGGCCGAGAGTCGGTCTCCAGCCCAGCCCCGCGCGCACGAAGTGAGCTTCCCGCCGGGCCCGCGCCCCGCACCGCCAGGGCCAGCGTTGCCACCAGCCGGACCCCCAACCCTCTGCCCCGCGACAACGCTGCCCGACGGACGCTGCGGTTCAGCCGGGGCCCGGAGAGCAGCGCGCAGTGTTGGGGTGCGGGCTGGGCGGCCAGAGGAGGGAGCCAGGGGGAGGGGACCCGTCCTTCGCGGGGCTGGGCAGGACGCATCCCCGGCACCGCTCCTGCGGGCTCCACCCCAGCGGTCTCTGGGACCTCGTCCGAAGCCCGCTCATCCCTAGGAGGGGCCAGGCTGCTGCTTCCTTTGGCCCCGGGAAGCTGTCCTCCCGTCGATCCCCAGCGCAGCCACCCCCTTGCCCAGCCTTTATTTTTACCGGAAGTTTCTGGTAACCAGAGGTGGGGAGGTGACGCAGTTTCTCTTAGAAAGCCAGACTAACTGCTGCCGTGGGGGCAAGATGGCCACACAGTCTCTGGGGCTGGCATCCTCACAGCTCAGTTGAGGACAGCCATACCTCCTCCCCTCCCAGATGCCCCAAGAGCCACATAGGCACACTGTCAAGGGAGCCAGAATGGGAATACTGGGCAGGGCTGGGGGTGAGGGCACAGCTCTGGACTCCGCATCATCTGGTGTTTGTATACTCAGAAATCATGTCCAGATTTTTGCTACTTCCAAGATGTGGACAAGCCCCCTGTGCCTATGGGATTGTACTACCCAGCTTCCCTTTCCTTGTTGATTTAGAATAGTTCTTGGCATGCCAAGGACATAAAGAACATTTTGGAGGCACCTCTGAGGCTGCAGAGGAGAGGGTGACAGCTGATGAGTCAGTCAGTACTGGGGAAGGCCAGTCCTGCTGGGAAAGGACCCAGGGTGTGGGGTGCAAGACTCGGTGGCCCAGGGCTTCCTGTCCAGAGCAGCCTACCCTGGCATTGAGATGCAGGAAACTATCACCTCCAGGGCACCCACTCTCTGTGGGCGCCCAGAGCTACTCTGGGGACACTGCCCTCTGGGGTAAGTCCAGTGCTGGGAGTCCAGGCTGCCTGTGGCAGGCATGAGGGCTGGAATGGCGGCACCTGCCTGCCCCTTCCTCGGCCCTGGCCCGAGCTCCATCCTGTCCTGAGGCTTTGGGGGTCGAGGTAGAGGGATCCCCAAGGACAGGGACCCAGGGTGCTCTCCTGAGCCCCCTTTTAGGGACACCACCTACCCATCCCTTCCTCTGTCATCCTGTATCCTTCATGCGCATCCTGCTAGGGGTGGGCCATGTTACACTTTGCTGTGTGGTGTGGGTGCATGGTCAGCTGTCCTCCCCTTCAAGTTATCCTGGGCTGTCCCAGCAAAGTAGACCCACCCACTCCGGCCCTGGAGGTCATAAGGCCTGAGAGCCACGGACTCAGGGGAACCAAGGCAAGGGCCCATCTGGAGCCACAGGCAGAGGACCATCAGTGGGGGTAGTATCAGGCCAAATGGGCCTTGGAGCCACCCCCAGTCTCGGCAGCTCCCCAGAGGGGACAGTCCCGCCCACGTCCTCAGCTGGCTCATTGGATGGTTGGTAGGACCCCTGCCTCCTGGCACGTGCTCCACAGGGGGTGCCTGCTTCCCACAGCTCACAGCAGACTGCAGCCCTGTCCTACCTTGGACCCCTCCTCTCCGTTCTCATAGCCCCAGACAGACCCCTGCTGGCACTGAGTCTCTCTCTAGAAAGACCTCCCCACCCCCACATTTCTGGAAGTCCCCCAAAGACACAACAGGAAACCGTGTGTGTCTGTTTTTATTTTGAAGGTGGGAGCACAGACCTGTCCCCACATTACAGGAGGGGACAGAAACATGGATACAAAAACTGGAAAATGAGATGGCACTGCCTCAACATAGTTTAAGGCCCTGTGTGTACCTCTATGTGCAAATGCTCGCTCACACTCACACGCTCACATGGCATACTTGACACAGGAATGGAGGCCAGACGCCAGACGCTACTCACAGCCTGCCTAAAATATTGCAGTTACATTTATTAAAAAAGTGTAAAACGGGAAGACCGTGCACAAGTGGCAACTTGGGACCCTGGCCCGGGGTGCTGGGGCAAGCTGAGCCCCTGCCCCCAGCACCATTGCCCTCCCATGTACCCGCGTTCACGTGGGCCTGCTCCTCCTTGGCGGGCCCCACAGGTGTGTGGACTGGGCTCCTGTCTAAATAGCACAAGGGCAGAATAAAACTCACAAGGTCTCCCCGGAGTCCACCCAAGGCCCCTCCAGGGCAGCCCCTGCCACGTGGGCAGGGACTCAGGAAGGGAAGTTCGGTGCATCAGGCCAAGCGGGCCTGCTGGGGAGTGACCCTTCAAAGCCACACAGGGCCTCCACCCCTGCCTCCGTCAGCCCCTTGGGGCAAGTGGAAGTTGTACTGGGGGTTGGGCAAGATGACCAGGATAAGAGCTGCATTTGGCTTTAGCGTTAAGGCTGGCACTGGGCAAGGGCTGCAGGAAAGGCCAGCGCCTCCCCAAGAGGAGCCTGTGCAGCTCCCGGGGCCCTCCTGCCGTTCTGCCTCTGTGGGTCCCCCTGTCCACAGTGGTCATGCTCGCTGGGTCTCCCTGCCTCCCTGGGGCTGGCTTAAAGTGCTGGGTGCCTGGGAGAGAGGGCTGCAGCTGGCCACTTTCTGCAAGCGATGCCCACGCTGCCTGCAAAGGGCTCCTATTTGAGGATATAGTTAATGAGCAGCTGAGATGCCAGGAACACGCAGAGCAGGAACCAGGACCGGGGGCTCTGCAGGAGGCCTGGGGCAGGTGCCCGCCTGGCTCGCGCCGCGGAGCTCCGCATGGCCGAGAGGTGCCTGCAAAGACGCAGCAGGGTGGCTGAGCCGGGGCCAGCCTGGACAGGACGGCATATCCTGCCCTCCAGGGGCGTGGGTGCGAACAGGGGTGCTCACTGAAGGGGGCCCAGGGCACAGAAGCTACATTAGGCTTCTTGGGGACACATCTCAGGGAGGGGGTTTTAGGGCTGTGCGAGCCTCTCCACCCTCCCACCTCTGCCGTGATGGCCTGCGTTGTGTCCCCCCGTCCCCATCCCCACAGTCATATGTTGGAGTCCCGACCCCCCACACCTCAGAGAATGTGACTTTTCGGAGGTGGGATCCTTGCAGAAATGATTAAGGTAAAATGAGGTCACAGGGTGGCCCTGATCCTGTGACTGTCCTCATGAGAAGAGGAGGTCAGGACACAGACACACAGAGGGGTGATCAGGTAAGGACACGGAGAGGACGGTGTCCACATGCCCAGGAGAGGCTCAGGGGGCCGGCCCTGCCCGCCCCTGGATCTCAGCCTCTAGCCCCAGGCCTGGGAGAGAGGAAACGTCTGTGGTTTAAGCCCCCAGCTCTGTGGGGCCTTCCTGTGTTCGGCAGCCCCAGGAAGCACCCCTGCCTGCCCTGGACTCTCACATTATTCATGTCTGGACTGCTGCAGAAGCTTCGGGTGCTCTCCCAGCCACCTGCCCCACAGCAGGCTTTACCGTGGTGCCAGGCAGCTGCTCCCACCCCCCTGGCCCCTGGGCCCCCGGCATCACCGCTGCCACCTTGGGCGTCCTCATCTCAAAGTGCCCCTTCTCCCAGCAGCGGCCCTCCTGCGGCACCCATGGCTCTCAGTACCAATCTATGCTTTCCCCTCCCTGCCCACCTACCTCCTCCTCTAGGAAGCCCTCCCTGACCACGCAGGAGGTATTCTTTTCCCAGTCTTCCAGGGGCCAGCCTCCCTTTTGCTCAGCCCCACACCACCTCACACAGGAGCAGGTTATTAACACAATGTGAAAAATCTGTGTGTCAAGTCACAGGGCAGGGCCGGGGCCAGCAGAAGACCAGCCTCATTGCTGGCACACTAGGTACCAAACGCTCTCTGGGTGCCAGGCACAGAGCTCAGCCCTCTGTGCCATCTTTATCCTGGTCCAAGGGTGTTGCCACCCCATTTTAGAGGGGGAGACTGAGGCCTGGACAACCAGAGTCCCACTGCTGTGGCTTGTAGCTCAGAAGCTGGCTTTGGAGCAGAGCTGGAAAGAGCTCTGCTCACCCTGGCGTGTCTGCTGATGGAAGGGCCCAGGAGGCCTAGCGGCCTGCACCTGCTGGGGGCCACAGAGAGCACGGCTCCCAGCTCTCCCTGGTCACTGGCTCGCCTCAGCCCGTCCTGAGGGTCCACGGTGCATGGGGCTGGGGGCACAGCCGTGTGCCTGGAGACACCCACAGGATGCCGCTGGCAGCATCCCTCCACCGCACCTGGCTCCGTGCCACCGTCACCACTGGGTCGTGTGCTGCTCTGGCTCACTGGGGGCTCTTCCAGGCCCACACCTGGTCCAGTTCAGTGTTCACTAAGTGTCGCTAACTTGCCCACTCAAACAGAACTCCCGCCTGGCCCGCCCCTCACAGAGGCCAGAACGCAGGCCTTTTCCTGTCCACTGTACAGCTAGACCCTTTCTAAGATGCGAGGGTTCTAGCTCCGAGTGACGTTCAAGACGTGGTCCTCCTGGGCTCCCTCCCACCTGGCTCTTGGCTCTCCTGAGCTCTCCGACATGAGCCCCTAGCCAGGGCCCAGGGCCTGGCCTACCTGTGGAGCTCCTGCTGGGCCTCCCGGATGGACAGGACCGCCTCGTGCACAGCCTGCAGCCACTGCACCTCCTTCCCACACCGAGGGCAAGGGCTCTCAATGCCTGGAACAGCCCGCAGAGGGCAGGGAGGAAGCGATGAGAGGTGCCAAGGGAAGTGCCGGGAGGGAATCCTCGGGGGTGGCTGGCCTCTAATAAGCCCTGGGAGATGGCAATGGCCCAGGTAGGGCTCCCGTGCTGCAAGGTGGGGACAAAGTCCTGTGGGCACCTATGCCCATGAGGGCAGTGGGCAGAAACAGAAGCAGAACCCGAGGGCCTGCCGGCCAAAGGAGGGGCCCTTGTCCTCAGAGTGCAGGGTCGGGGAGCTCCATGGGCCTAGGGACGCCCGCCCGGGTCCCCCCTCCTGCCCAGAGGTGCAGGAGCTTCCTGGGACTCTGCCACCTGCTCCTCTGGCCCCCCCACCCTGCTTGGGGCCGGGCCCAGGAGGGTTCACCAGGAATGAAGTCCCCATCCCTGTCCTCCTCCTCATCTGAGAGCTCTGGACAGGACTCGGGCGTGGAGCCACTGCTCTCGGTGGTCTGGCTGTGGCCGGAGGGCTGGTCGCTGGCCTTGCGGAGCCGCCGATCTGGGCCAGGCCCCTGGAGAGGGAAGGGGCCTCAGTGGCCCGGAGCCCACCCATGCCCGCCGCCCCCTCAGCTGGCCTTGTGCTCCAGCTTGGCCTACAGGGAGCTGCCGGGGGTTCTGCTGGCCTTGGGGACCTGGTGGCACATTGATGCCAGGGGAGGAACTGATGGCCTCTGGGGTGCACAGGGGAGGCTTGACCCCTGGCCCTGGCATGTACTGCAGCAGTGGTGACAGACTGCTGGGCCCTTCTGTGGCAGGGCAAGCCCATGCAGAGGCCTGCCTTGTGGCTGCTGCGGGCTCCTGCCTATTTGTCCCGGGATGGGGCTGTGGACAGTTCCTGACATGAGCCGAGAGCTGAGGGGCCCGGTGCAGAGGGGCGTCAGGTGGGCACCTGGACGGGACTGGGACCGTCAGGCCTGAGTCAGGGCTCAAGGGCTGTGGCACATGGGGAAGGGGAGGGGTGGGCCCCATGTGGGGGTCAGATACTGCGGTCCCTGCAGCTGGGCAGCCCCGCCCTGTCCCTGAGCACTGTGCTTCCGGCCATGAGCACAGGGGGCAGGTGCTGGTCAGCATGTGGAACCTGCAGCACGTGGGTGGGGCGTCGCCCTTGGCTGCTGCCCGTGTGGCACCGTGCCAGGGGACACTCCAGGCTCCCCTTGCAAGCCAGACCCTGGCATTTGTCTCAGGAGGCCTCCTTCCCCACCGCCCCTCACGCCTTCCCTCTGGCCCTCTGGGGAGGGCTGAGGCTGGTTTCTGTGTAATGTTGGCCCCTTCTACCTGAGCACGCCCCCAGGTGTGCTGAGCCTCAGGTTCCCCATATGTAGAGTGGAATAATGTGCTACTAAGACTGCGGAGGGCAGCTTTGGGGAGCAGCAGACTAGGACCCAGTAGACCCAGGCACAGCGCCCTGCACATTGGGGTGCCCCTTGCTCAAACTGAGCTCCTGCAAATCCGGGCATTGTGGGTCTCATGCTGGGCAGGGCAGGAGACGAGGGGGCAGGGCCTCCTGCTGAGGGCTGCCGAGAGTGCAATAAGGCGGGGGGCAGAGAAGAGGGGCCAGGCGGCGGGAGTGAGGGTGGGGTGTTGGTCACACCTGCATCCTGACTGCTCCCTCCCGCCATTGAGGATGACTCCAGTAGGGCCTTGGGGAGCTGACCTGGTGTCTGGGCTCTGGGCTGCCCAGGAAGGAGGTCTGGGGGGCCATGGTCTCTCGCTGCAGGGTGTGCAGGACCCCATCTTTCTCAAACTGGACGATGTCCTTCAGGGGATCCCAGGGGCTGCGGCTGGAGGGTCCAGAGGACATCTGTCAGCAGGGCAGTGGCCTTTGGGGGGAGGGGGCCCCATCCTGCCCAGCCCTTGGCCTCCCGGCGGTGGCCAGAGCCCCCCAGGAGTGCCTGTGTCCCGCACCCGGGTGTAGGGCCCATGGGAAAGGCTGGTAGCGGAGCCCCAGATCACCCTCCCACCCCATCATTCTCTCCTGGGAACAGGAGCCCCTTTTCTCTTCTTGGGCCCGGATGGTTGGGGCAGTCTGCTGGTCCAGTCCACCACAGGCCTGGGCCGATGCCCACCAGCGCTCACTTCTCATATCGGTAGTGCCACTCCTGGGTGGCAGGGTCCAGGTGGAACAGCCGTGGCTTCCAGGGGGTGAGGCTCTGCTGGCGCTCCCGGGTCTGCTGCCTCTGTGCATCCTCCAGTGAGAACTTCTCCTGCGTGGCCTTGTGCTGGTCCCCCTCGGCGATGGCCCTGGTGACATGCTGCCAGAGCCTGTGAGCAGGGCATCTGCTCTGAGCTGGGGACCCGGGCAGCCTGCCCCCTTGGCACTAGAGGGGAGGCTTGGTGCAACCTCCACTTGATTGCTTCCAGTGACAGGAAGCTCACTGCCCCTCGAGGTGCTGTTTGTTCACCATGAGACGGTTTCCCATGCTGAGCTCACACTGCCCGCCAGCAGGGAGCTGCCGGTCACCTGCTGGTGGTGACAGGCCCCGGAGCCTGCTCCTCCCCAGGCCCCAGCAGGACTCATTTACCAAGAGGCATCCACCCTCCCTGCCAGGGACACCCTGAGGACATGCTCAGAGCAGCGTAACTGTGCCAACCTGTGAAGCAGCTGCCCACCCGGCCACACCCAGGTGGCTCAGGAGGGTCTGGTGGGTGCCAGGTGGGCTCACCTCTCTGACTCCAGCTCTGTCTGCTCCTTGAACAGCACCGTGTGCCGCTTCAGCCTCTGCCCGCGGACCTCCCCACTCGGGTTCCAGAAGAGCTCGGTGCTTCCTCTGCCCTCCTCCTTGATAAACACCTCCCTGTCCTGCCCCGGATGGCCCAGGCGGGGTCAGAGGTGCCAGGCCCACGGCCACCCCCCGACCAGGGGACAGCCTGCACTTCCAAGGGCGGCCTCTCACCCAGTGTCCAGTGAGACGTGCCAGGACCTCCTCTCCTGATGCAATCTTCCCCGAGACCTGGTTGATGTTCATGGTGCCCCCAAAGAAAGGCTGTGGGGACACACCCAAGAGGGTTGCTGTGAGGGCTGGCAGCTGCTCCATGGACCCTGGCACCCCTAGTGAGCAAGGGAGGAGGAGGCTCCTTCCTCGTGGGGGTGCAGCTCCCAGTCCCCAGTGCCCGGGAGGCCGGCAGGACAGTCCCCGAAGCTTCCAGTGGCCACGCCCACCTGATGTCTCAGTCTGAGCCCAAGGATGCAGGGTTCCCACCAGTCCCACCCCGTGCCCCCTGGTGGGGAAGGGGCCTGGGCCTGTCCTGGCTCTGCTGTGTGGCCCCTGCCCCTCTCTGGGCTCTGGCTGTACCACAGACTGCCAAGAGCTGCTCTCCCAATGTGCACCTGCCCAAGAAACCGTCCCTGGGGAGTGAAGAGGGTGGGAGGGTCCCCCGAGGCCCGCTCCCCCCCCGTCCCTCCAGGGCCCTCAGGTGGGCCGAGGGGGCTGCGGCCAGCACTACCTTGAGCTTGAATTCCAGCTCAGCCTGTAAGTTGTTCTTCTCACACTCGACGGTCACTCTGCCACCCAGCTCCATGGTCATGGTGCCATAGAGGATTCCTGAAACACAGCAGTGTTGGCCCAGGGGCTGCCAGGCTGCCGGGCCCCTGCTGCACCCAGCGACAGCGGCCCCCAAGAGGCCTGTGTCAGGCCCTGGGAGAGCGCGGAGGGGAGTGAGAAAGGAGGTGTGAGGCCGGGCAGAGGGGCTCGTCTGGGGAGGGGATCCCTGGCCGGCCTGATTCTCAGCGACTCTCTGCCCCTGGGCCTTGGCCCCTGCCGGCTGCTCTGCTCAGGAGATACCCTGTCTTCTCTGGGTGACCGCCTCCAGGACTGCCCTGCTCCGGGGTCCAGGAGTCACTGCCCCCTGACACTCATCACGGTCTGTCACTGGCTGTCCCGACTCCTGTCTCCCCTGGACAGGCCCAGCATATGTTTAAAAATTAACACATACATGTTTTTATGAATGAATGAATGAATGAATGAATGAGTCTTCATTTCTAGCCATACGGACTTATGCTCACTGAAGAGAAAAACTATTCCCACCCTAAAACACTTAGAAATGTGAGATAAAATGTCTTTCAAAAATGTAAATGAAAAAAAAAAGACGAGCCAATCGAAATACCAAGAAGGCTGAGAACACCCCCAAATCCCTCCCGCACACCCGACGGGAGAGCTCTGTGGGGGGTGGGGGCTGCTCTGGGGGCACCCAGGGCTCCCCCCCTCATCAAGGGAGGAAAGCGGCCGCAGGGCGAGTGGGCAGGGGCCCCGGCGCTCTCCCCAGGCTTGGGGCTCCGAGAGGGACCCGAGGCCTCTGATGACACCAGGTTTTATAGTTTTGCCTTGGAATCGGGTAAATCTTTCTTTTACACAGTTCTCAGAAAATGAAATTAGAAAAGCAGTTCCTTAAAATCAACAAGAAAATGAAACAGAAGATGGCACGGGGACCCTCGGAGTGGCCTAGTCTCAGAGGGGAACTATCCCGCGACTTTTCCATCCCAGGGAGGTATGATCACGAAGGAACAATGGCCGAACACGAAGCCACTGCCCTCCGTCCCCACCAGGCCGCTGGTGGCGTCGGCCAGAGGTGTGACTGCAGGACGCGTGTGGGGCAGGACAAAAGTCATCACGAACATCCTAAGTCACTGGAAAAGGGGCTTTTTGGCACGTGGGGGAAGGGCCTTTCACATGTCAGGTCAGTAGGTTCAGCACAAACCCACCATCTGGAATCTGGATTGGAAGCATCAGCATTAAGTCGATCTATTTTAATCTTAAAAAAAACAAACACATCTAGGTTTACCTTACTCGGAAACCCTAGAAAGAATGACCGAACCGACTTGTAAGAAACACTGGCCTGCAGACTGTGGGGACTAAATACCGCTTCCCACTGAAACGAACCTGGGATTTCCTGGGAAAATGGCCAGTTTGGGATCTAGGGCAGGAGATGTCAAGGTTCCATGGAGTCAACCCAGAAGGAAGCAGATACTAGGGGTCTGTGGAAGGGACCCTGGGGCCCATTGGATGGCTCCGCTGGCCAGCGAGGACACGAGTGCCCGTGGGGCACCGACTGAGAAGTTCTGGGACAATCGTATGTGTTCTGATCAAGTGGCACTTAAAGCAGCCACAGCCTCACCAAGAATCACCTTCGGAGGACACCAGGGGAAAAACTCACTATTTTGAAAAGAGAAAAAAAATCTGGCATTTATCCAATATGTACTGAACCCACTGGGTGACCATGTAGTGGGGGGAAGTTTTCTTTACAGAAGCTCTCTGCTGGTTAAATGCAGAGGGGCTTCACCACCTCGCAATGCCGGACCAATCAGCAGATCCAGGCACTGAGAAGCGGTGCCCACTAACATCATAAATACAGAGACAGTCCAACATTGTGTGCGCGGTGACAGAAACACATGAAGCCACCCTTCAAGCGTCTTGTTGAAACCCTGCCTGAAAGTGGTCACACCTCTAGAGAGAGGAGGTCAGCTTCCAGTTTACAGGAAACACCCGGGACAGAGGAATGCATCCAATTACTCCACAGAACAAGCTGATAAATGCAGCCTGGGGGAAATGCTACAAGGAAATGGCCTCGATTCTTCAACAAACTCATTGCCAGGAAAAAAGAAAAGGTAGCAGAGACGTAAAGAAGATCTAAGACCTATAATAACCAAAGTATGAACCTTATTTGGACTCCTGCTCAAACAGATGAGTTGCACCACATGTGTGTATGTAGGCAGAAAAACATACATGCACCTGTGACGGTCAGGGAACTTTCAAAACTGACATATCTGCTGATGTTAAGGAAAGAGCCTTGATTTTTTTTTTTTGGTCTGATAGTATCGTGATTATGGTTAAGAAGAGGAATCTTTATCTTTAGTGATATACAATGAATCACACAGACGACATGAGGGCTGACAGTCGCTGGTACCCATCAGCTGGTAGAGTGTGCGGCATCCAGAGGGAGAAGACTGGTGGTGCGCTGTGCTGTGGGCGCAGGGGGCCCATCGTGCTTTCATATGTTTGGAGTTTTCCAGGATAAAACCTTGAAACAAATGCTGTTCTAAGGCATTGATGCACAGATGAGTATGCAAGAAAACAAGATAAATCCCCTAGAGAAAGACCAAACAAGAAGGAGGAAGGACGAGGGGGAGGGGGAAGGACAAGGGGCACAGCTGCCCCGCTGAGCAGACAGGGCTTTTGTTGGCATGAGACCCTGGTCTCCAAGGTTCCCGTGGGGAGCAGGAGAGAGGGGCTGGGGCCACAGCAACAGGCAAGTGTGTTCTGAGATATTCCCACAAAGCCAGGATTCACAGAGCTACACCCCCAGCAAAGGGAGGGTCAAGGAGACATTTGAATCAGGCAGGACTCTAGGGGATACAAATTAAAATCCCCTCCCCATGGATTTGTAAGGGGAGTCTGGAATTCAAATCGACATTTCCTGGTTGGCCCAGAAACGATCTGTTATACAGGAGTGGCAGGAAATCCCCCAGCGGAATTAGAATCCCAAAGTCTTAATATATACAGTCCTCCACTGAACAAATATTTATTGGGCATCGGCTAAGGCTCTGGGCAGGGGAGACATACAGCAAACTGGTGAGAACATTAGAATTACCAGAGAATATGAAACAATTTTGCATACAGTGATTACAGATTTATAAGAAGGAATTGCAAACACGGTCAGGGAACAGGTACAAGTATAAAAGAACAGGCAGGTATGAAATGGACCTAAGTAGAACTCTCAGGAAAAAAAAAATCTGAAACACTGAAATAGAACTCAGTGGATGAGTTAATATCAGTTAATCAGAGTTGAAAGTAGGTCGAAATAAATGATCTAGAAAGCAAAGAGATGCAGATATGACATGAATAGAATGTGATGGCTTAACCTGTATCTTGTTGGGATTCTAGGGAAAAAAATGAAGAAATTAGGGTGAAGCAGGATTAACAAAATAATTGCTTAAAAGTGTTCAGACTTGATCAAAGCCATGAAAGCTCAGATTTTAAACGTGCAAACAAACAAAACCCCTCAAACAGCAAAAATAAAAAAAGTATGGAGGAATCTTAAATGCATACTGCTAAGTGAAAGAAGCCCGTTGGAACAGGCCACATACTGTGTGATCCCAACACTGGGACATTCTGGAAAAGGCAAAATGATGGAGACAGTGAAGATCCGCGGTTACCAGGGCTTGGGAAGAGGGGAAGGGATAGAGGGGTGAATTCATCCATTGACATCTAACCATAAGAGACTTTCAGGGCGGCCAAACTACTCTGCATGTAACTGTAATGGCAGAAAAACAACATTATGCATTTGTCCAAACCCACAGAATATATAGCGCAAATAGTGAACCCTAATGTAAACTCTGGACTTTAGTTAATAATAATGCATCACTATTGGCTCATTGATTGTAACAAATGGGTGACACCAGTGTGAAAGGTTGATCGTCGGCGTCGGGGGATCTGTGTTTGCATGTTGGGGGAGAGGGAAGCGCATGGGAACTCTGTACTTTCTGCTCAATTTTTGGGTAAACCTAAAACCCCTGTAAAAAATAAGGCCTATTAATTTAAAAATTAAAAAAAGAAAGAAAAAATCCAAACCTTGACATACTATAGTAAGATTGCAGAACAAGATCTTGGAAGCAGCTACACAGGAAAAGCGGATTGTGTAACAAACAGGCGCTGACAGATGATTAATCACCAGCCAGAAGGTGATAAAATGACTTCAAAGAGGACAGAAGAATAACAACCTGCCTGGAACTCCACACCCAGTTAGAAAGTCATTAAAAAGTCATTAATGAACAAACAAGGACCAGAGGTTTCCATTGGGGAGCCAGCCTGGGCTCTGCCCTTGGGGTGGGGGTAGCATGACCTCTCACCTTTGCAGTGGGCATAGGGCATGGTGAGGGTGTAATCCTCTGCCCAGTTCAGGAATGTGAGTGTGGCCTTGCCGTCCAGCAGAGCTGACAGTGAGTTCCCTGCAGAGTTGGGACAGTGAGACCAGTTAGTGGACACGGCCCTTGGAACCCAGGGGCCCACCCGCTATGTCACAGGGTCTGGGCCCCCTTCCAGCAGGTGGAAACTGGCCAAGGAGGTACTTAACTGGAGGCTGCAAACCTTCTCAGACTCGCCTGAGTCCCTGCTCTGATTTTAAACACCCCTGTAGCGGAGGGTACAGCCCATCCCGGGCTGAGAGTCCCAGCCACAGCCAGTGGTGGGTGCCTAGGGGTGGGAAAGGTGGGCCGAACCTGTACGCCCTTTGTAGACGGGTGGGCACACGGCCCTGCCCGCCGAGGAAAAGGATAAAAAAGCTGTACCTGATGGAGAAATGGAAACCCACTTTGGGAGCACCCACCGTGCTGGGTGCTAAGTGGTGCTGCCCGGCAGAACTTGCCTGGGTAACAGAAATGTTCTGCCCTGTGTTGACACGGTGGCCACCAGCCACATGTGGCTACTGAGCAGTTGCGGTGTGGCTAGTACAACCGAGGGGCTGCATTTTAAGTTTTATTTTATTTTGATCAATTTAAAGCACCCCATGTGGCTAGTGGTAGAGTTGGACAGCTCAGCTCTGGACACAGCTTTTTATGCAGCTCCCTTCCCATGATCCTCGCTGCACTCCCGCGGACGGTGCCCACTCTACTGCTGGGGAAGCCGGGCGTGGGAGGGGCTCTGCCTGACTGACGGATCTGAGCCCTTTACCACCCCGTGGCCCCTGACCAGGAGAGGTGGGGAGGGGCATACACACGGCCACCTGGTAAGGTCTGGGGAGCACTGAATCCAGGAGCCCAGTCCTCCCCCATCTCCCAGGCCCTGGGGAGAGGAGAGTCCCTCTCACCGTAAAACCGGGACTTGGCAGTGACGCTGCCACTGATGCAGAAGCCGTCCTTCCGGTTGCTGACGTGGAAGGCAGACACAGGCGGGTGGTGGGACACCTGCGGGCAAAGAGGCGGCTCCCAGAATGGCCCCAGCATTCCCAGCAGCCTCGCAGAGTCGAGAACCTGACCTCCCAGAGAGAACCCGGCCTGTCCTTCCAAATCCAAGACTGGCCGTGGGGACGTTCCAGGCTCTCACTCCCATGCTCAGGCGGCTAGGCCTGAGTCACGGGGCCTGGGGGCAGACAGGGATCCCTGCGTCACCGCAGAGTGCCCCCAGGAAAACAGGATGCGTGACCCCATCCTTAAGGAAACACTAAGGCTGAATCCTGGGGGAATGCCAGCCGGCAGCAGTGAGGCCAGGGGCCACCGAGAAACATGCCCTGCGGCCAGACCCACCCTTGCCCACTGCCCCCTGCCGCCCGCAGAGCCCAGGTCCGTTCTGGGCGGGGCAGGGGGCCCTTGCCTGCTCTGCAATGTAGAAGGTGCGGCTGTTGGTCTGAGGGTGGGCCCAGCAGCAGCGGAAGGTCTCCCCCAAGATGGGGTTGTACGGCTTCTTGATCCCCTGCAGGCAATGAATGGGGAGCCTTGGGTGAGGGACGGGGCAGGGTGCATGTGGACCGAGGACGGCTTGGGGGGCTGCCCGCTGCCCACAGCCCTGGGCACCGCCGGGAGGAGGTCTCTAGAAGGGACAGCCTGGTGTGCTGCCAGTGTCGGGGAATGGCACCCCACTTCTGCTTTGGGAAGACCATACTTTGCCTGTGGCCTATATATTCTGGGGGGCAGCCTGAGGTGTCTTGTCTGCATCTAGGCTCTGGGGGTGCCCCAGGCCCCAGCTAGGTCACAGTCTCCTTGGATGCTGAGTGCAGACAATGCACAAACTGCTGAACCCCCTAGCGGCTTCCAGCGGCCCCACTCTGCTTCAGCCACACCTGCCAGCTTTCTGCTCCCCCAAACAGCTCGTACTTGTCCCTAGTGCAGGGGGAGTGAACTCTCCATCTGGGGAGCCCTCCTTCTGGGTCTCCATGTGGTCCAGTGCAGACCCCCAGTTGGTCTGTAGTAGCCCCGGGCCACCCCCTTCACGCCACCCCCGGATCCGGGTCACATCTGGATGTCTGTGCGTGTCGGCCCTGCGCTGGAGGCTATGGGCTCCTTGGGCAATGTGTGCCCATGGAGTGGCCTTGTGCAGCGCCTGCCCCAGCCTTTCAGAGACAGCAGCCCCGTCAGCCCCTCTGCCAAGCTGCCCAGACCCGTGTCTGAGCTGACCCTGTGGTGCACCACTGTGCTGTCTTGGATGGCCTTCTGGGTGGAGCCTCCTCCTCTGAGAAGTCCTCCCAGAGTGCCAGGGGAACCAGGTGAATTCAGGAGACCTGACTCACTCCCAACCTGCTGTGGGACCCTGAGGCTGTCCCTTCCCCTTCCTGGGCCTCAGTTTCCCCACCTGCACAAGAGGTGGAACCAAAATGCCAGGGCCCTAAGATGGGGTCAGGGAGCGGCATGCTCTCCTGTCACTATAACCAGAGCAGCCCTGTGCTCATCTGAACCCGGGTTTTGAGTTCTCAAAAGGGTACCAAAAGCTCCTTGAGGTCTGGGGCTGAAAGCCCCTTTCCGGGCCCTATTGTGTGAAGCAACTATTCCTCTGAGGTGTGGAGGGGTCCAGCTCGGGCCCTTCAGGCCTGCCCAGGGGGTCCCTGGGTGGGAAGTCAGAGCCCCAGGCCCCATCTCTGAGGACCTGGGGGCCACGGTGGGGATGGTCAGGGCCCTTCAAGGCCGTGTGGGGTAGGGGATGGCCCTGGGCCTGGGGGGTGGCCCCTGCGGATCTCACCTTGGGCTTCTTATAGAAGCCGGACAGGTACCACCGCAGCACGAGCTTCATGCGGCTGTAGGCGTCGTCCTCCAGCACTGCCCTGCGACGGGGAGACGGCCCTCACTCCCGGCCGGCCCTGCCGCCCCCTCCCTCTCTCTGCCCCTCCCTCCTTCCCACCCAAGCATCACACACTCATGTGGAAACGCTCTGCTCCTCCACGCTGCCCAGGCCTGAAGTGGAGGGCGTTCCCCGCTTCCCCCAGGAAGGGGTCCTCCGCCTAGCCAGAGAACCCCAGGGGTCCCGACACTGCTGGCTGGAGGCTAGCGTGGTGCCCAGCCTCCACAGGCCCCTCACCTCTCCCTCCGTGTGGCCCCTTCCTGGCCTGCTGCGGTCAGCTTCAGTGCACAATGCCAGGGCACAGGACTCGGACCACAGAGGGTGCTTTAGGCTGACCCATGCTCAACCTTGACCTTCATGGCCCCAGCCCTGACCTTGGAGACTGGGACGCCTGAGAGGCTGAGCTGCAGGGACAGTGGACCCTCTGGAAATCGCGGTGGGGTGTGCAGGGGCTGAGGGAGGAGGGGCGCACGCAGGTGTGTGGGGCTCCCCCAGCCCACTCACCTGGAGAGCAGGTCGGCGTGGTAATAGTAGTCGGAGAGCTTGTCGAGGAAGGAGCGGGGCTCCAGGACGAAGGTGGGCAGCACCACGCGGGACAGGTCCATGCCGGGCCGCAGCTGCTTCAGCAGCACCCACATCAGGCTCTTGTTCTCCTCGGACACCGTCTCCACCTGGGATGCCTGGCCCAGCTGCCAGCAGAGGGCAGTGGTCAGACAGACCCCAGCTCCGTGCTGCCCCGGGGAACTGGGGTCGCGGGGGGCAGGACAGGGCAGCTGGTTCTGGCTGCATGCCCCCTCCCTGACCTGGTCAGCAGTGCCTGTCTTGGCCCTATCTGACCCCTGCCCTTCCCTGCACATGGCCCTGCCCCAGCCCGAGGGGCAGCCACTGGCCCAGGCCAGCTCACACATGCTTCCATTCCTGGCCAGCCTGGGCCCTCCCCTCCATCTGCGCAGAGCCCCACTCCGGGAGTCCAGGGCGCAGCCTCCCTTGGCCTGAATGCGGAAACCCATCTGTGGACTCTGCATGACTGCGCTGTGCCAGGAGGCACCCCAAGAGTGGGAGACCCTCCCAGCCCATTCAATCTTCACCACACAGCAGGAGGGGTGCCAGGGATTTTGGGCTGCACCTCCTTTAGCAAGCGGCCCTCACTTGCCCAGGGTCACATGCTGGGGGCTGACCTGGACACCCCTCCTGCCTCTCCTGAGACGTCTTCCCTCACCAAACACCTGCCACGGACAGACTGAGCCTCGGGACTGTGGGCTTTGCCTCTTTGGGTCTGGGCAGTGGGGTGGGGAGGCCCCATGCCCTGCTGTACAGCGACCAATACACCCTTAGGCAGGCAGAATGACCTCAGAAAAGGTCACAGAGGTGTGGCCAGCTCCTCAGGGTGCTCACAGGACAGGGCTGTCTAGCGGGAAGTCCCATAAGCTGCATAGCCTGGGTGGACGCCAAGCCCACCTCCCCTCCCTGGGGACCCCACCATCTTCCTGCTATCACTGCTGGGCGCTTTGGGCCTGGGGTGTACCTGGACTTGGCTGGGGATCCCCCCCACATGCCTGCCTCTGAGCCCCTGCAGAAGCCCTAAGCTGCACTTGGGTGGAGGGCCTGAGGCTGCAGGTGCGCCCCTTCCTTCTCCCTGGACCACCTCCTGGCAGCAGCCCAGGGCACTCACACTGTGGTGGCCCTGATTTACAGAGGGGACAAGGCCTTGCCCAAGGTCACACTGGTGTGAAGTGGGGCAGGATCTGAACTCAAGACTGTGTATGTTCTTGTGCAGGATGGCAGATGCCCCAGGGAAACAGCAGAATTGGGTGCCAGCAGCCAGCCCAGCCTGCTGGGCTGTCTTAGACAAGCCGTGTGCCTCTCTGTGCATGCACAGCTGGCCTGAGGCCTAGTGGTACCTTCCTGGACAGTACTCCTGGGCACCCAGGGGATTGGCATCCCTGGAGGAGGAGCCACTCCTGGCTCCCGTGAGGGTCCTGGCCAGTGAGCAGCCTGCAGAGCCCTGGGCCTCAATTTCCAAGGCAGCCTCAGGGCTCACCCAGGCAGCTGCCATGGCCGGAAGCCCTGCCCCCTCCTCCCCACCGAGCACCTTCACAGATGTCACCACCGTCCCCGCTCCTGACGCAGAGGCCGCCCTCTCACTCCCGCTGCACCTCTCAGCGCAGCTGCCCCCACCACCTCTGCGCTCTGGGCTCCCTGCTTCTGCCTCGCCTCCCTGGGCTCCTCTGCGTTTGTGCGCGGCCTCTGAAGGCGGGGCTGCCTGCCCCCTGCCCTAAGGTCCAGCTGCTCTGGGGCAGCAGCGTCTCCCCTGGATGTGCAAACTCCCAGCCGCCCGCCCCCTCTCCCAGCATGCCCATCTTGTCCTGGCCCCGAGGTCTGGCTGGAACCAGCCTGCCCACCTCTGGAAGCGTCCTGAACCCCCACTTCTCCCTGGTCTATCTCTACTTGGGTCCCAGGTGCCTTTGGCTTCCTCCGGACAGCGGCTCCTCCCTAGAGGGTCCCGGCTTCTGCCTCTGCCCCTGGGCTGCCCCAAAGCCTCACCTGATCCTAACCCACAATCCCCCATGGCTTCCCCAACACCCTCAGCCCGCGCCCTCAGGGCCTTCCCGCCCATGTCCAGGAGGTGCCGCCTCTGCCCTGGGAAGGGGTGGGGGCAGGCGACAGCCGGGGCTCCAGGAGGCGGGGACCCTCACCTCCCCCAGCTCCTCCAGGCACTGCTGCACGTATGTGGTCCCTCTGTGCCCCGGCTGCCCCAGGGGCTCCGGCGGGTCACCCCCACTCTCCGCGGTCTTCTGGCCGAGGTCCTGGGCCTCACTATCAGACTCGTCGGCGTTCTCTCTCTCCGACTTGTCAGAGAAAGCGTCGTTCTCCAGGGAGCACCCATTCAGTCTGGAGGCAGGTGGTGCGGTGGGCCCCCGGAACAGGGGAGACCTAGGACCCCGCCCCGGGCGCCCCTCACGCTCCCTGGGTTTAATGGCCTCGGCAGCTGGCATTTGCCACTCTTGCCCAGCTTACACATGAAGAAGCCGAGGCCCCTGGCGCACTGCGGTGAAGAGGCCCGCCTCCTGCTGAGTCCCGGTGCCCGACCTCTACGGCCTTTGCCCCCCAGCCCCCAGCCTCCCCAGGCACAAGAGGACCTGGCGTGTTAGTAGTGTGACAGCCAGGGACCCCAGCAGGTGGGAGGCCCGGCCCCTCCCCCCACACCCTGCTCACGGGCACAGGTCCTGGTCGGGGTTGGTGGCCATGATGGGCAGCCCGCAGAGCGACGGGGGCGATGCATCGGGTGAGGACCCGGGCTCCCCGGCACGGTCCTGCTTGCACGCACTGAGTCGCAGGAGGCTGGAGCAGCAGAGTGCCAGCTCCAGGGCATCCAGCCAGCAGCGGCCTGGGTGGGCGGGTGTGGGTGAGCCAGGAGGTGCCCAGTGAATGCCAGGCGCCCCCGCCCTCTGCCAGGAAGCAGGGCATCCTGCTCCCCACTTCCTCACCAAGGAATCCCCCCCACCTCCACAGGGGAGCCCACCCCATTTCCCTGCCCCCAGGAGCAGCCCCAACCCCAAGAGTCCCATGGACAAGGGCTTAGCCAGAGGCCCTGAAGAGGGAGAGAGGCCCTTCAGAGTGGCCTAAAGGGTGCTCGCAGCTCTTATCCTGTGCCATGTTACAGACACAGCGCTGAGGCCCAGGACAGTTCAGTGACCCCTCCAAGGTCACACCCTAGCAAGACTCAGAGCCCAGATCCCACTGCAACAGGTCCCAGCATGTAGGGTGGGGAGAGAGCCCCTGCTGGGAGCTGCCTGCCAGGGTGCAGGGGGCTCCTGATGGCCTGGAGCACAGGGCAGGGGGGTGGGCAGCAGGCTGGGGAGGGGGCTGTGCAACATGGCAGGCAGCCCGTTGAGGCCAAGGGGCACCCCAGGGGGTGCTGGCCGGGCCTCAGTGAGGAGCAGCTTCGGGTGGGGAGAAGGGGTGGATGGGCCGTGGAGGCCGGGAGGGCAGGAGGGCGGGCAGGTGGGGTGGCAGAGTGGCCATGGGCAGAGCCAGCCGTCTCCAGTCCCCAGCTCTTATCCCTCTGTCCTCTGCTGCCTTCCTGGTGGAGGCAGCTGGTGGGTCAGATTAGCGCCACCAGAGTGTGTGGGGGTGTTAACAGCTTAGGGACACGAGTCCAGTCTGGTGCGCCCCGATGACCTCGTGCGGCTGCTCACAGAGGCCCTTCCCTCCTAGAAGACGATGGGCCGCACTGCTGAGTGTCGCTCAGGGGGCTCGGGGGTCTGTGCGTGCGGGGCATCGGGTTACGGATGGGAGACTCGTCACCTCCCTGAGCCTTTGAAGTGTGAACCTGCCAGAACCACTGAGCTCCTTTCCCTCTCTGGAAACCACAGAACCTGCTCCTGCGGAGGGTCCCTGGGGCCAGGCCTCGGGAGGGGCTGGCGGGAAGCCTGCTCCTGCTTCTCAGGACACCTGGGGTCCTGCCAGGTTTCCCTGTGGGCTTGGTTGGAGCCCGAGAGACCCAGCCCAGGCTGAACATTCATGAGGGGCAAAGTGGCGGGGGTGGGTGCAGTGTGGCAGCCCCTGCAGGGGGGTCCTGGGAAACCCCTAACTCCTGAGTCAGGCCAGGGTCCCTGAATGTGTTCATTTCTAGTTGTAGAGGACCAGACATCCTGAATGTCTCTGAATGTCATGCCTCCTCTGAAACCCGTCCCAAGGCCTCCTTCTCCCCCTCCCCCTCCAGGAAGCCCACCCTGATACCCCCAGGGGCTGTAGACGCCCTTCCTCCCCGATCATGGGCCCGGATCAGTCCACCAGGGACTTGGCTAGTGTTCAGCCCAGTCACTCCTGTTCCACAGCTGTTCTCCCCAAGAGCGCAGGCCCCCCAAGAGCATGGGCTGCCCTGTCCATTCCGGGGCCCATGTGAGGCGGCAGAGTGGGGGGCTCAGGAAACGGTGGAATTCTTGGGACCCAGAACAGCACTGTGGGGAGTGTGGAGGCAGCATCTGACCACGGTGAGGGGGTGTGTGGCACCGGCATGGGGCCCTCCACACACCAGGCCAGGAGGGCTGCAGCTGTAGGCAAAGCCCTGCCCAGTCTGGACCACTGGTGAGACGGGGAGCCCTTCACCTCCACCCTTGGGAGGTGGCCTCCAGAGGGACTGGGGGACAGGGCAGCCACGTTTACTCAGAGTGGCCACTGGAGGGCACTCCAACCACGTGCAATGGGTTTGGGCAGAGGGGCACTCTGGGCTGCTGCCCAGGCTCCGGCACATTCCGGCCGGCAGTGTGAGCGTGCCTCCCGTCCCACCTGTCAACTGTGAATAATAACAGTAGAACCTATTGATTCAGTGGTGCCTGGCACACGGTTGGCCCTCAGTGATGGGGACCTGGTCGCTTTGTATGAGGCCACCGGATTCTCACGGGGACCAGGGAGACAGATGTCACTGCTCACATTTTGCACATGGGGACACTGAGGCCCGGAGCAGTACCGGTGAGTGGCAGGCCTGCTTGGCCCGAGCCCATGCTTGTCCTGGGACATCCGGCCGTCTTGGTGGGGGGGGGGGCAGAAGGCGCCCTGTGCACCTAGCCTGCACCCTTCCGGGGGGGCCCGCTGCCAGCGGGGACTCACCGTCTGACTCGGATGCGGCCCTGAAAATCAGGTAGCTGCTGGGGAGGGGCTGCGTGATGGAGCCCACGCTCTCGCCTTTGGGGCCCTGGGGAGGCAGAAGCCCAGCATCACCCGCAGGTGGGGACACAGGTCCCCCACAGCTAGGCAGTCTCACTCTCAGACCCACACGGACGCTGCCAGGACCCCAGGACCCCAGCCGTGCAGACACAGCAGCAGCAAGAGGGGAGAAGGGGTGGGGAACCTCTCTGCCCCCCTTCCTGCTGCTGGCCCTGAGCTTTCTAGCTCTGAGCTCCCCAACTTAAGGTGGCCAGAACCAGCATATGCAAATCCAGGGTGCCCGGGTAAACGTGAATCTCAGAAAAGTAATAAACACCTCTTTAAAAGTCTCAGTATATTCCATGCAATATTTGGACAGCAGTCACACTAAAAACTACTTGACATTTCTCAGGAGGGGTGAGGGCTGGGGTAGCCGCCCACATGGGTCCATTCCTCAGCCTCCGCCCGGCCTCCCGGCGGATCATGATCCCTTCATGTCGCCAGGCCCTGGGCCCCACTGTGTGCTCCGCCTGGAGGGCCAGGGACCACATCTGAGCCCCTGCCATCAAGGGACTGAACCCAGGACCCCCAGCAGTGGGTGGCGATGGGCGCATCTGGACCTGGCCGCCCATTTCTGGAGCCCTCTGGGCCACCCAGGGGCCCTGCCCGCCTGGCCCCCGGGCCCCGGGGCTCGCCCAGCAGTACCTTCACGGCCCACACGGACTGGTCCAGAGGGTGGAAGAGCTTGAAGCAGAAGCCGTCCTTCTTGGAGGGCCGCTCGATGAGCTCACAGCAGTGCAGCAGGACGGTGCCCACCCACTGGCCCACCGCGGGGGTCTTGTAGATGAGCAGCACCCCTGGCTTCAGCACACACCACAGTTTGGTCCAGCTCTTCAGAGTCCCCCGGATCTGTGGGCAGGGGCGCCGCTGTCAAGGCCTCGGAAGGGCCCCAGCGGGCGGAGGAGATGGGGCTCGGGCTGTGGGCAGAGTTCTCTTGTACTTTTTAAAAGCAGCTCACAAATTACAGTGCCTCCCAAGAAATACTCTGCAGCCAGGCGCGGCCTAACGGGTGACGTTCAGGGCCTCCCAGGTCCTGGGAGGGAGAAACTTGTTGCCATTTCTTCCCTCTTTCTAAATAAATACTCACTTTTGTATCTAGGTTTTCATTCATGATTTTGTGGGGAATATAAAAGGAGCTCGCTTGGGCCCGGGGCCCTGCAGACCACCACGTCCTGGCACGTCCATCTTGCTTGCTCTTCAGGGGGAGCCTGGGATTTGGCGGCTTTACCTCCACCACGTTGGGGGGACGTGAGGTCTGCACACAGGCGTCAGACCCCAGCCCAGGCTCCACCAGCACGCCAGGGGCCCCCTGTCTCCCAAGTGGCCGGAGACTTTGCACCGTCCCTCGGGGAGGCCTCCTGGCGGAGCCGTGGCTGAGGCTGTGACAACAGGCCTGCCTGCCGGCCTACCTTCAGGCTGTCGGCCATGATGACCGCGCTGGGGTCTGTCAGGGCGCTGAACAGCTGCTTCGTGGCGCGCTTCTTCGCCTGCCGGTAGTTCTGCTTCTGTGCCTGCACCCAAGGCAGCCAGTGGGCGCATCAGGGGAGAAGACCCCAGGCTGGCACCTTCCCCCAGGCCACCCCTGGGTCTCCACTGTCCAGCCTCAGGCACCAGGACAGGGGCAGGGAGAGGATAGGAGAGGAAGCGTGGCATGGAGGGGGCAGGCTTGGGGGTGGCCCTTGTGCCCATTCATCCAACAAGCCACACACTGGTGACCCCTCTGCAGGCCCATGCCCACCTTGAGAGTTTCCTTCTTGGTGACCTTGGCTGTGGGGGACACACATTCCTTGTCGGACCCATTGCACAGCCTGTACTCTGCCTGCAGGAGAGAGACTGAGGTTGGGGGCGAAGGGGCACTGCATGCGGCCCAGTGCTGCAGGGGGCTGGGCAGGGCGGGGCCTGGAGTATGAAGCAGGGGTGTCAGGGAAAGGCGCTCCCCCACTCCCTGCTGCCCAGCACCCTCTGTTCAGTTCCCCGGCGTTCTGGGAGTGGTAGGGGGTGCCCATGCAGTGGGGACTCCCATCTTGGGTGCCCTGGGAGGCCCTGTGCTGGGCACCAAGCCTGGGCTCTCTCCCGGGACTGCAGATGGCTGTGGGAAGGCAGGAGGGCCGGAGCCATGGAGGACGCACAGCCTGCAGGGCCGCGGGACAGGCTGTGTGGGCAGAGCCACATCCGGGGATCTGGGAGCTGCAAGGGGCTGTGGTCCTTTAACAGACAGGGAAACTGAGGCCCTGGCGTGTTAGGGCAGTCAGAAGGAAGGACCAGGACTAAAGGCCATAATATAATATACTAAAGGCTGCAATAATTTATACAATACATATAAAAAGAACAAACCATGGCCAGAATCCTGCCCCCACCTGTTTCAGGCCTGCAAGCTCAGAACGGCTTTATGTTTTTAAGTGGTGGGGAAAAAGAAATAAAAGAATAATATTTTGTGAGGCATGACAACCATGACATGGCTGTGTCCACTCCAACATTAGGGTCCCGCCCTGGCGACAGGGCCAGAGGCCTGCAAGGCGCACTCACTTGGGCTTCCCAGGGGAGGCTGTCCACCCACCCCGCTCTCTCCTGGCCCCGTCTGGGGGTTCTGCCCAACGCCGCGCCTCCAAGCCTCTTGGCTGGGGAGGAAAGCCTGGTGGTCCGGGCTGCCAGCCTGCTGAGGGTGACAGGTGACTGACGCAGCTGAGAGCAGTGCCGGCCCGCACGGTCGTCGCCTGGAGGTACCGGGGGCTGTGGGTGCTCTGCCGGCATCCCCTCCCCTCATCCCCGCAGCCACCCGTGGGGTGGCCCAGTTGTCGTCCCCACTGTAGAAGAGGGAGTCAAGGCCGTCCACTAGAGACAGGGGCTGTAAGAGCCGGGGTGGCGAGCATGTGTGCACACGTGAACTGCCACAGCGCAGGTCACTGCACTGCTGTTATCATCCACACCCTGAGATGCGGAGGCTGCAGCCCAGAGAGGCTTGGAACTTGCCCAAGGTCACACAGCTCGTGAAGGGCTGAGCTGGGACTGAACTCAGAGTCTCAACCCAGACTGCACTCTCTGAGCCGAGTTAAAATATTCCAGATCCTACGAGGCAGGGACATAGGGTGGGGTGCCTAGGGCTTTTCTCTAGAAGCCCGTCTTTAGGCTGAAGCCGTAGTGATGAGGCAGCCCAGTGGCAACGTGTATGCCTGGCCTTGCCCAGGTGGCAGGCCTCAGAGGCCAGGGCTGACCCACAAGATGGTCCCCGTTGCCTTTCTGGGGAGCTGGGGTTCTTATGCCTGGTGCCCTCCACTCCCTCAGCACATGCTGTTCCCTCAGCCTGGAATGCTTCTCCCTGTTGCCAGGAAGCCCCTGCTCCTTCAGCAGACCCACTGAGCCACTTCCCCAGGAGGAAGACACCTCTGACCTCCTGCTGGCATCAGACCTTGATGACACAGCCCTGCCCTTGGCCTGCCCAGCACCTTTTGCAATTATGGGTGACACAGACATTTCTGCTTATTGTCTAGCGCTCCTGCTGGGGAAGCTCGCCTCCCAACACCCCAGCACTGGCAGCTCAGTGAGCACAGTGGATGAAAGCCTGGCTGCACGGACCCCCTGCCAATTCCCCGCTGCTCAGCTACCAACTGAAGTGCCTGGACAGAGCCATGTTTCTCTTAGGAAGAGGGAAGGCACCATCTGGGTTTTAGGCCTGGCTGGGGGTGCACGAGGGGGCATCCCCATCCTGCATCCCTCTGCTCGTCAACCTGCTCAGGGCTGCAGGCGGTGCCCGCTGGCCCTGCTTTCCTTAGGGCCTTGCTGAAGACCCCATCCGGGCCCCCAGGGCCCTTCCACATGCCCCTTCATAGCAAGGCTCAGTGTAGTAACCAAGCCCCCTTAGAAATGAGAAATGCTGCTCAGAACTATGGGCTTGAGAGCCTGACCCCAAATGTGCACCCTATAAGTTACTTTAAAAAAGTAATTTAGAATGACCTGCACAATTGGAGGAAGTCTGCCATCATATATCTGACAGGTGTCTGGTGCTCAGAATATACAAAGAATGCTTCCATGCCACAACTAAAAGGTGAAGATCTAATTCAGAGATGGGCAAAGGACTTAGGCACTTCTCCGAAGAAGACATTCTAATGGACAACAAGCCCATGAAAAGACGCTCCACGTCACTGGCCATTAATTAGGAAAATGAAAACCGAAATCACAAGGAGATGCCACTTCACACCTATGGGGTTGCTGTCGCGGTTAATAAAAAGCCAGAAAATGCAGGAGCTGGTGAGGATTTGATAAATGCGGACCCTGCTTATCACCGGAGCGACTGTAAAGTGGTGCAGCCGCTGTGGAGAGCGGGTTGGCAGTTCCTCAAGAAGGCAAACACAGCATGTTCTAGAATTCTGTATTACCACAGGATTAGCTCATGGCCCAGCAGTTGCCTCTTAGGTATGTGCCCCAAAGGACTGCCGGCAGGGACAGTAATGAGCACACGAATATGTGTGTTCACAGCGGTGCTACTCATGGTGGGTGAGGAGGGCAAAGTGACCCACGTCCATCAGCAGATGGATGGACAGGCCAACTGTGTTTCCCAACGCACGGAAATATCAGCCCCTAGGGACGAGGCACCGAGAGAGGCCACATGACAGGTGAATCCCGAAAACATGGCGCTGTGCAGAAGCCCGCCATGAGCACCACGCACCGTACGTGCCTGTTTACACGAAGTGTCCAGAACGGGCAAATCCATGGAGACAGGAGGTGGGGTAAGGCTGCCCAGGGCTGGCCAAGTGGCAATGGGGAGTGTCTCCTCCAATGGGGTTTCGGTTTATGGGTATGAGAACGTTCTGGAACTAGATGGAGGCGGTGGCTGCACAATATTGTGAATGCACTAAATGCCACTGAATTGTGCACTTAAAAGGGTGAATTTTATGTCACTTGAATTCTACTTCATTAAAAAAATATACATAGAAATATACATTAGAGCTTGTATCTTTTCCCACGCTGTGTCTGCAAAGCAGCCCATGTTGCTCTTAAGAATCGGTGGGTGGGAGGTGTACAGTGGTTCCCCCCACCCCCAGCACAGCCTCTGACCATATGTTTGCCTGCTCTGATTGGCCCCTGTCTTCCCTGCTGGAAGACGGGCCAGGAGAGCGGGACTTGGTTTACCCATGCTTCCATCCCCAGCACCCACAGCCTGAATGAATGAAATCTGAAATTTGAACCAAGTCAAGCATCTCTGATAACATTTGTGTTTTATTGGGTTGCAGAGGGACACAATTATGTTTCTGATGTTTTTATGCAATCAACTTGTATCTTAAAAAAATGCACAACTCAAGTGTCCATTGGAGGACAAATGGACCAACAAAATGCAGTCTATCCACTCAATGGAATATTACTGAGCCTTAAAGAAGGAAATCCTGGCCGAGGCTCAATGTGGTGGTCCTGAGGACACTGCACTGGGTGAAAGGAGCCAGACACAGAGGGACAGACGCTGCGTGACCCCCTATCAGGAGGGCCTGGAGTTGTCAGGTCTGTGGGTGGAGGGCCCCCAGGCTGGGGAAGTGGGAGGTTAGTGATTAATGGGGACAGAACTTCAGTTTGGGGAGATGGAAAGTTCTGGAGATGATGGTAGGGATTTTGCACAACAGTATGGATGTATTTGATGCCGCTGAGTGTGCACTTGGAAACAGAGTGGTAAGTCTGGGTTATGTGTATTTACTGCAATTAAAAATAAATAAATAAATATGCTCTGACCTCCTCCAGCAGCGGATAGCCCTGGGGGCCCAGAGAGGGAAATGCAGGCCCTGGGTGGGGTCCCCACCAAAGGTTTGGCTCCTTCCTCGCCTGCGGCAGACTTGGGGACAGGCCTGCAGAGCCGCCACTGACCCTCACTTGGCAGACGAGGACACGGGCTCCCAGAGAAGCCGGGTCATAGAGGGTCACAGACAGGGGGCAGGGGGAGACCCCAGGGTCCGTGTGCACCGCTCCCCAGGGCCCGCAGAACCCGGAGACACCACCCTCGGTCAGTGTCTGGGGCTGAGGCCCCTGGCCGGAGACCCTCCGGGTGAACCTAAACCAGCCTGGTATGGTGCCTGGGGCCTCATCTGCAGCCCAGGAAGGCTCTGCCCGGCAGGGCAGGCTCGGGGATGCCAGGGTGGGCCTGCGTGCACGCCCTCTGGAGAGGGCGTCCGGGTGGGGGACAGCACAGACAGAGGCAGGAGGACGAAGGCTCGCTCCCGGGGGTTCACCCACAACGCAGGGGCTCTGGGCCTCCACCCCATCCCAGCGCGCCGTCCTGCGCTCTCTGGGTTTGCAGTCCAGGATTTAGCTGCCCCCAACACAAACGCACGGGAATAGCAGGCTTGGCGGTGCCCCTGCTCTCCCCTCCTTGAGCCACTTCCCACTGACCCTTGGCAGGCTCCCTGCCCCAGGTCCTCTTACCGGTGGCACCTTCGTGGCAGAGCCTGGGGTCGGCGGCCCTTCATCCCTCGGCAGCGCCGGGCTGGTGGGCTCCATATCCTTCCCTGTAAGAGAGTGTCTGGAGTGAGTACTGGGCACGGTGGGCCGGGCGGCTCCTCTGGCTGGCTGCCCTGCGTGTGGCAGGCAAGGGGTGGGCACAGGCCGTCTGGGTGGGGCAGGAAGCCAGCCTGAGGCTGCGGCGGCCAGATGGACGCTGCCCCAGGAGGTCTGATCAGCCAGCATCTGAGTGTCTCTGCTGGGAGGGCCCGGGACCTCCAGCCCCTGCCTCCACGACCTGCTGGAGGGAACCCCAGGTGCCACAGGCACTGGTGTGGCATGTCCTTGGGGGTGGCAAGGCCAGGGCCCCCAGAATTCTGACAAAGGATGTGGTGTCCAGGCTCAGGCACACAGAGGGCTCAGCGCGCGGGGACCATGCCCGGCCTGCTCCCATGTCCCAAACCCTCTGAGAGCTGGGTTCTCCGAGGAGGTGGCGGCACCCTGTCCCCTCTCCAGCACAACCTAGAATGTGGGAAGCGGGAGGTGTCTACATTCAGCCCTGGGGACATGGCTGCCCTTCCCCTCTGAGCTGAAGCAGGTTTCCATTTCTAAAGCTCGGGGCTAAGGGCAGGAGGAAGAGGGACATCTTCTCTGGGGCCTCGGGCCAGCTGGTCATGACCGTGCCGCCCACTTCCTGTGGCCTGACATGTTTACTGCCGGGTCCCTGGGCCAGGACTCAGGGGAGGGGTGACTGCTGGGATAGAGGGCTGTCCTGGGGCATGGGGGTGCAGCAGCCCCGGGCGCTCTGCGGACCCACTTCTCCAGGGCGCTGGGAAGGGGCTGGGGGCTGGGGGGCGGGGCCCGAGCTCCCTGCTGGGCAGACGAGCCGGCAAGGGGACCTGGGGAGGTGACTGCTGGGACCCCGGGTTCCCCCGGGGCAGGAGAGGCCCCGCAACCGCTCTGCTCAGGGTCATACAGCTGCTCTTGGCCAGGGTGGCCTGGCTGCCTCTACTTCCCGTCCCCAAAGTGCCCACACCCCTGAGCCAAGGCCGGGCTGGGTGGTGAGTGGGAGGCTTCCAATACCAAAGGCCCTCTCATTTCGGTGCAGTTTTGGGGACCTGGGCCTGCAGCTGTCAGAGGTGGCCCCCCATGCAGGTTCTGTCTTTGGTGCCTGGAGGACTGGGGCCCCACAGCACCCAAGGGAGTCGGGTGCAGGCTCCCTGGAAGTCGGGGGCTGGGCACTGGTTCTGCTCACAACCTGTCCACACCCCCTCTTGTCTTTGCCCCCCAGCCCTGCCCACTCCCCTCACCTCGCCCAGACCTGCACTGCCTGGGCCAGCTGCTCCAGGACCAAATCCCTCTGAGACCCCCCACTCCTGTCCAGAGCTGTCTGGCTCCCCCACCCCTCCTCCCTTGCAGCGGAGGCAGTGGAGAACAGAGGTCTGGTTTGCTGCCCCGGGCATCTGGCAGCCCACCTGTGCCAGGAGCCTGCTCTGTGACTTCCACATGGCCCTCCCCATGTGGCCTCAGTGTCCCCATCTGCTTGATGAGACTTTGGATGGGCAGCCCCCAGAAGCCCCTCAAGTCCAGACAGTGGACAGTCGGCCTGATGCTCTCCCGGCCTCCTCCAGGGACAGGGTGGACACTGGCCAGGAAAGTTGGGGTGTCTCTTTACTCCCAAAGCAGGGTGGAGGCACCCCCCACTTGCACAGGAGCACCGGGAAGGAAGGGCCAGGGTATCTGGGGGAGCAGCTAGACACGGTGAACAGCCCAGCATCCTTGGCTGGGGGGCGTGTGCGGAAATGGGTGATGGAAGCAGCTGTGGGCGTGGTGACCTGTGTTCTGGGTGCTCCGCCCTGTCTGCACAGAACTGGGGGCCCTGCCCTCTGCAACACAGGCCTCCTCGGTCACTAGCGGGAGGTACTGCCGGCAGCTCGTTTTGCAGGTGAGAACTGAGTCCCATAGCTGCCTAGGGGCCGGAGGGCTGGGGCCAGGACCCAGGAGACCCATCCTCAGAGGCGGTGTCTGGAATCCCAGCACCACACCGCTTCTCCCAGGGCAATGGGCTGCCCCTGGAGCCAGGGGTAGGGAGCCCTCTGCTGACCTCCACCTGGCTCACAGGTGATGGCGCTTTACTGCCTTGCAAGCCTTTTGCCCATTTTCCCAGCACCAGCAGCAGGGGTAGGTGAGCAGAGCAAGGCTGGCTGTTGCCCTCACAACCAGATGGCACAGAGAGGGGAGGCGAGCTACCTGAGGGCACACAGCCTTGCCCAAGGCCGTGCCCCCTGCGGGCCCGGCTCCCCTGCTGCACTGACCTGGGCTGACCGGGCAGGGCTCATTGTCTCCTCCGAAGAGCAGGTTCCGAGTGAGTTTCCAGGGCTCGATTTTCTGAGGGGTAGAGGAAGGCGGACACAGTGAGAGGCGGCGCCGGAGAAAGGCCTCCTCCTTCATGGCCTGGGCGCTGGGGGGCTTCTGGAAGGGAGGGGGAGACTGCGGTCACTCCTCCTGTCCACACGGAGGCCGGCGGCTTCCCACCCACCCGAAAGGCAAGAGAGACACCGCAGAAAGTCAGGGGCGAGAGGCAGGGTCGCTCGGCCTTACACGGGGGTCCCCACCGCGGTGCGACTCGGGAGCCAGACGAGGAGGTGCTAGTGGGTCTGCAGCGGGGAGCCGGGCCGGGACCGGCCCTCGGGAAGCGCCGGCCGGGCAGGTGGGCCCACAGCTCTCTGAGGGCCTGCATCCCAGGCCCTCGCTCAGCGGCCTCCGGGGGACCCTGGCCAAGGGGGCCTGGCTCCGGTTCACAGGTGGGGCTGCGCCTCCCCCACAACATGGAGTAAAGCAGCAGCTCCCCATCTCCTGCCGCCTCACAGTCCTGCCTGGAGGGCTGGGGAAGCAACGGCAGCCATGGCACGTCCCCACCGATGTTAGCCCATTTTATAGGTGAGAAAATCTCGGCTCCAAGAGCCAAGAGCCTTGCCCGCAGCTGCAGACGGAGAAGGGCTGGCAGGGCCGGGTTCCATCTCCTGATCCTGCGCTCTGTGCGCAGTCTGAGGGCGTGCACCACAAAGGCCCATGGGCCACTCTCCTCCAGGCCTGTGGCCACCACCTGCTGCCTCCCTGGGTGCCCCTGGGGCTCCCCACCCAGCGCAGGATGATGCCTCCCTCCTGTATGGGATCAGCGGACTCATGGAGCCTTCCCTGCTGTGGGGCAAGGTGGGACAGGTGGGGCCTCGGGAGCCGGCAGGGTGGCCCAGGGCTCCAGTGGCCCCAGAATTTCCTCTGGGCTGGGCCTGGCCTGCCCCCGAAGCTCCTGCCATCCTGCCCACTATCTTGTCACCAGGCTGAGCCATTCCACAGATGGGGAGACTGGCTTCAGAGAAGTTGGGGTTTTGGCACAGTCACACAGCTAATCCTCATAAGTGCCTGTGTTTGGGCCAAGTTGGGCCGATTCTCAAACCCGGTTCCTGGCTCCGCCCTTTCTGGTTTCAGCCTGACTTCCACAGACCCACTGTTGGGGGCAGAGTGGGGGCCCCTGGACAGCCAGCCACTGCTTATCGGAGTTCCGTGGACACGTCTGCCTCAGCGTGCCTCAGGCCCAGCAGCCAGCTTCCAGGAGGAGGCCAGCCTACCCAGCCACCCAGACGGGACTTCCGGGCACCCAGGCTGGCAGCCAAGGGAGTCGGACCTGACGCTGCCCAGGGGTCCCCAGGAGTGTGCAGAGGGACCACAGCACAGGATGTCCCCTCAGCTGGAGCCTCACTCTTCTTGGGGCTGTCTTACAGACTGGGGGCAGGTAGAGGGGCAGAGGGGCCGCACAGCTGGAGGCTGCACACAGCCCAGCCTGGCTGCCCCAGGGCAGGGGGCAAGGGCAGGGAGGCCACTGGCCGCCTGACCTCCCAGACCCCGTCACATGCCTTCTCTGGCACCGCAAGGCCCTGGGACTCGGTGTGTGGCTCCACCACCCACTCATCTGCACCTTCCTCCCCCACTCCCTTTCATCTGTCCGTCCATCCAGCCACCCAGCCAGCCAGCCATCCCCCATCTGTCCATCCTTCCATCCATCTTCCCACCTGCCCCCTGTTCTCCCATATAACCTCTTATCTGCCTTTGACCTGCCCGGGCAGTAGGGCTTTGGGGCCTTCTGCGGACACACCTCCCTTGGCCTTCCCATGCCCAGCCCAGCCAGAGGTTCTACCAGCTGGCATCAAGACAGGGGGACACCGCTGTGTCCACTGCGAAGGTCAGTCCCGATCACCTCTCCCCACAGGCTGTGCACCGCATTTAGAAGCAGACACCATGTCCTCGTCCCTGTTTTCCAGTCTCTGGCCCCACCCACTCTGGCCCGGCCACACGGGTCCCTTTCTGTTCCTGGAAAATGCTGAGCCCATTCACGTGGGGCCTCTGCTCTGGAGCTCCCCCCAGAATGTCCTGGGGCACTCTCACCCACATCTGGGCAGGCCTGGGTCCTTCCCACAGCTGCTTAAATGTTGCCTTCCCTAGGGTTGTCGCTCCTTGGCTCACACAGCATGAATTCCCAGCACATCCGTGTTCTTGGAGCCTCTCTTTTGCATTCCTTTCATCTTTGCTAACTCTTCCCCCACAGGATGCAAGTTCTGGGGGAGGAGATGCATTTGTCCTCCCACCGTGGCTCCCCTGTGGAGGTGGGCAGGGACGGGCAGCAGGGGCTCTGCTGTCGCCCTGCCCGGGAGCTCAGTACCCAAAGGCCCGTGGGTGAGCAAGGTGGTGGAGCAATGCCCCCGCCTGCGTCCTTCCCCCTTATCTGCGGTCCCAGGAGGATCCTCAGAGAGGGGGCCCAGGTTGTTGGGGGGTCGCCCAAAGGCTCAGGATGCGTCTTGTCTGGGCCCAGTTTAGGGTCCTGGGTTCCACCTGCCTGGCCACCAACATGTGTCCTACCTTCACAGGCCTCCCTGACCCCCATGGGACTGGCCTGTGGCCCCCGTGCCAGTCACATCTGCTTCCCAGGTGCCCCCAGGGACTGGGATGATGCTCATCTGCACACAGCCCTTGGTTTGCAGCAGCCCAAACCCTTCCTTAAATGAGCCGCTCCCACGTGCAGGGGTGGCTGTCCTGGTCCTGATTATTGTAAGGCCCACGTGTCCGAGGGACGCTCTGGGGCTGGAAGAAGGGGCCCCGGGTGCCCCACAGCGTGAGACTGTCCCTGGCACAATGTCGAGGTGACATCTGCATGCGAGAGCCTCAGGTGGTAGTCCAAAAGGTCACATGTGTCTGCAAGAGGGGGCACCCAGCCCAGAGACCCCAGCCCCTGAGGAAGGCTCCCACTGGAGGCAGGAGAAGGGGCATTGGCTGGGGAGGGACAGGATGGGGTCAGTGCGTGGACGTGGCCCGGCCTTGCCCTGCCAGCCCTGGCCGAGGCTCAGAGAGGTTTGTAGGCCTGGAACTTGGCAGGAAGGCACTCTGGCCTCCTCCATGGACCCAGGCCAAACCATCATTTCCCCAGTTGGCCCGCCGGGGATGCGGGGGGGACCACAATCCCCTGGGTTGAGGGGAAATGACCAGGCTGGGCCCTCTCTGGAGGCACAGCTCCAAGCCCTGTGTCCCCTTGGCACTTGGAGATGGCTGAGAGCAGGGCCGGAAAGGAAGGGAGGGGCCAGGCTCCTGGGAGAGCGTGTGGGGACCAGGCCTCCCTCAGACAGACACATCCCAGTGGCCACATCTGGGAAATGTCTCCGCGGGGGAGCCCTGAGTCCTGGGCAGAGGCAGGAAGTGCTTGCCCTGCTCAGGCGTCAGCCATGCCTGGGTGTTCTCCGCTGACTCAGCTGGGTCATGTGGCTGCGGGTTAAGGGCCAGTGCCTGGCACCCGCCCACCTGGCCTCCTGACCAACAGCGGGCCAACTGCATGCTCAGCGCCAGGGTCAGCTGGCCCAGCCACCGCCCATTTGTTCCTCCTCGGCAGCTCCAGTCCCCCAGTTCCAGGGAGCCCCAGCCATGGTGGCCAGTGGCCAGTCAGATGTGGTTGCAGCTGCAGGCTTGCCCTACCTGTGCCACCCAAACCCTGTCCACTCCGGCCCAGCTCAAAGGAGACTTTCGCTTTTGGATAACTGCAGCCTGGTGGCAGCACTCTCGGGGGCTGTGTGACCCGGCAGGGATGCAGGGGAGGACTACGGCAAGAGGGGCATCAGGAGCCCAGCCAGGAGATGGGCCCCCTGGGGGGTCAGGGGCCCTGCCCACTCTCAGATCAGCACCGGACCTCAGTGTCCACATCAGAGACAGGGAGGCGGGTCTGGGCTCCCAGAGGGATCTCACCCCCTCTTCCAGCATGCTCACACCCATGCTGCACGGCTGGCCTGCCTTAAAGTCCTCATGCTCCCAGGGGTGCTGATGTTACAGGCCACCCCCTCACATGACTCCTGCTCAGTGTGCCACTGCCAGGGATGGCCCCGCAGGTCGCCTGCTCCGATTTGGGGCTGACAGATGGGCAGTCGGGCACCTGATGCAGGGAGGCACTCAGCCAAAGCGGGGCACACCACCCATCTGGAGCCCAGCTGTGGGCCGCAGCTGACGTTGGCCTCGGCCCCTCCCAGCAGGGGTGGGACCCTGCGGCTCCAGGAGGCGGGGCCCCTGCAGTGGGGGTCAGGGGCTGGCAGGTCACTGCTGACCCCGAGGGGGCCTCAGGACTCCAGCAAAGCTGCCCACTCCTCCAAGTCCCTTGAGTCTCAGTCTCTCCCACTGCCCACCACCATGGCACCTCCATGGGACCTTCGGCAGCTGCTCAGGGGACTCTGGGTGGGCTTGGGTGGTTGACCCAAGGCTGATGCTGAGTGGGCCCAAAAACCAGGCAGGTAAGTGCACCTGCCCTGGAGGAGCAGTCGGCCAGCAAACAGAAGGAACCAAGTCCAGGAGGGCCGCTGCCAGGCGGGTGGAGCCAGGGGGCTGGGGTCAAAGCCTGCTGGGGGCCCTGGGGACATCGGCTCTCAGCCATGCAGTGCGGGAGCGGGTGTAGACAGAACACACCTCATAGCATCTCTGCTGAGGGCCTCCCTGCAAAGGAGAATCTGGCCCAGGCTCCCTGCATAGCAGGCACCATCTTAGACTATATTAACGGAGGTTGAGCCCCTAGAAGGAGGGAGGGGATGGTTCCAGTGAACGCTCCCTGGTCAGACCGCTGGGTTCTGCTCTAAGCATAAATGGGCGGCCTACAGCAGCTCTCTCTGGGGAAAGCCAGGACGGCGCCATGGGGGACGGGTACCCGCGGAAGGGCCAACAGCTGAGCTGTCCCACGTCCTTCAGGTGATGGATGGCGTGAGCACGGGGCGGCAGGGCTCACGGCAGGGCCTGAGATAGCCACCATCTGGGGAAGTGGAGGTGTGGCGCCCGCAGCCAGGAGGGGGCAGCAAGCCCTTCTGTGGACCATTGGCTTAGCTGGCAGGGCTGAGGGGGAGGGCGTGCCCACCAAGGAGACTGGGCAATGTGGTGCTCCCACGACCCGGGGC